AGGCATCAATCAGACCATTCGATCAAATCAGCAGAGATCTCATGTTCAATTTGAATTCAATTTTTTTTTCTCTTTAACGAAACAGTGTCAAACCTCACCAAATTTAATTTCACATCTACGTTGATATAATAAAGATAATTAGAAAGGAAAAGAGAAATAGTATTTTACAGAAATGTATTTGACATAAATACAACGTGATGAAGGGTTCAATCAACTGTCCATAACACTTCTTCTTCTCATGTCCAGGTGGGATATACTTCCATGACTGCCCACTGCAGCCGCTCCTGCCCATCTTCCTCATTGTGGATGCCATCGTGATGTTGGCCACGGTCAGCACCACTCAGTGTCTAACAAGAGGCCGGCCCGAGGTCAAGCCTAAGAATGGACAATGCAGGACCAGTGCTGTACAGAAGGCTGCCTGTGGCATAGCCATCATGTTAATACTGTTTCACGTTGCTTGGTTGATTTGTGGTAAGGATTGGGGGGGGGGGGTTGGGCCTTCTGGATGCAACATTGTTGGTACATATATAGGTTTATAACCTTTCTGGTGGCACCATTGTTGGTACATATATAGGTTGTGTTTGTAACCTTTCTGGTGGCACCATTGTTGGTACATATATAGGTTGTGTTTGTAACCTTTCTGGGGGCACCATTGTTGGTACCGGTACGTATATAGATAATGTGTAGAAGCTTTTGTGAAGGGCGGCAAAATCAAGGTTCCTTCTCAGCATCACAAACTGCGTAAACTGTCAAATAAAAGGGACCAAAAATGTAAAGCTGACTTTAAAAATTATTTTAAATCACCTTTATAAATATAAGAAGGATCACTAGTGTAATATATACTCTTTCTTTTGTTGCCTTTTCAACTCCCAGTAGAGCATAGGCCATCAACAATTACTTTTAACTCACAGTGGAAAATTGGCCATTAACAATTTCTTTCCAAGCCTTCTATTCTCTTGCTATCTTCTACAACTTTTTCCAGTCATTGTTACGTCTTTGTTGGCATCTTTGCGCCAGGCGTTTTCGGGTCTTCCTCATCCTCTTGAGTGTTCCATACCAGTGCTTCTCGTGTTATATTTGGCAATGGTTCCATACCAGTGCTTCTCATGCTATATTTAGCATTGCTTTCATAACCAGCGCTTTCTAATGTTATATTTGGCATTGGTTTTTATACCAGTGTTTCTCATGTTATATTTGGCATGGGTTCCATACCAGTGATTCTCATGTTACATTTGGCATGGATTTTATCACTTTATGATCTATCCACCTCTACCTCATTAAAATAACAAATACACATAATATTTTTCTCACAGGTACGATCTTTGTTAACGACACGAGGAACACAATGTACTCCCCCGACCACTGCATAAATGGGACATCGGGTCCAACAGACCTGACAACTACCACTTCACATCACCTGACGGAGACATGTCTCAGCTGCCACGAAGGTTTGACCGACTTCACATTTGTCATCGTCATCATTCAGTGGACATTGGTCGGCCTCGTTGTGTTCGGGCTCTTGATAGGACTCTGCTGCGCTTTTGGCTCTTACATAGTTTGTGAGAAGTGTCTCAACTTCAAGTGAGAATCAGTTGTGGCTTATCACAGCAGGAAATTGCATAGGAGACCCAACACACTGTTTTAATCATTCTCTATTTACCAACAGAAAAACACAGAGTTTAAATATTGAAGACAGAGTCAGTGGATCTAGTACTTGTTCCCGTAGCACGGTTGATTTTTAAATGAAAAACTCATTTCCCAGACCTTGTGTTATACTAGTCCTAGAACTAGAACTATTCATCTATGGGAAGGTATTGTCCCAGTGTGTTATACTAGTTATAGACCTATTCATCTATGGGAAGGTATTGTCCCAGTGTGTTAAACTAGTTATAGAACTATTCATCTGTGATAAGGTCAGCCCAGGCCAGACTTAAACATCTTAGGGGTACAGGGAAGCATAACGTAACACAAGCGTCATATCGGTAACATGGTGATGGCCACCATGAGAAATGTTCATAAGAATCAGCCATGGCTCTTGGTTTATCTCAACTCCACAGTTGCCATCGGTGTGGGAAAAATACACATTATTTCCAACTAATCCAATCCACTGATGAAATCTGACCTGCGGGCCATCAAACGACGAATTTTGGTTTACACATGACATTTATGTCAGGATATGGAAACTTTTCTTAAAAAGGATGGTAAGATGTGTCACCCTAAAACCAAGCCTGCAACACTTGAACGGCTAACTCGGCTCGTTGATATTACAAAAATAAATAAAGTTTCATTAGTAACACTAGGGCAGTGGTCGGCAAATTGCGGCTAACGACTTGACTGCGGCTCGGTCAGTCGGCCACAAATCGGTTTTGACTCCGAAAAAACATGGTTCTTGACAGGTTCTTGAAAAGAAATTTGGCTCTCAAAATGTTAAAAAATCTTCCTGCTGCTGTTTTTTGGGCTCTTTTGATAAATGAGTTGGCCGACCACTGCACTAGGGTCTGGCATTTAAGTATCTCATGTTGATTAATGTACATTCCTAATGTCATATTTGCTCACAAGCTCTCCCCTATTGGTGACAGCACATAAAACCATTGAGAAGGTAGGATAAAATAATTGATTGAAGTGTTATGCATAAATTGTCCATCTTGATTTGAATGGTATTATTTGATGATCACTGCCGTATGGAAAGTTATCAATAGTAAAAATGTCAATGGACCATACTTTAAATGGCTCAAATGTTTATAAAATTAAACCAACTGTATAGGTCATATTTTTCTAAGTCTTATGTGAATCCATTCTATAGTTCATATCTTTGTACATCATGCTATGTGTAATTATATTTATAACAATAAAAATGTTTGAAAGTTTAATATCATCTTGATGTTTTTAAATTTTAAGCACCAGAACCTGATCAAATAGAACAATGAAACTATTTAAGCACCATGAGCTGATCAAATAGAACAATGAAACTATTTAAGCACCATAAGCTGATCAAATAGAACAATGAAACTATTTAAGCACCATAAGCTGATCAAATAGAACAATGAAACTATTTAAGCACCATAAGCTGATCTAATGGAACAATAAAACTATTTAAGCACCATAAGCTGATCAAATAGAACAATGAAACTATCTAAGCACCATAAGCTGATCAAATGGAACAATGAAACTATTTAAGCACCATAAGCTGGTCAAATAGAACAATGAAACTATTTAAGCACCAAATGGCCCGCGAGACGATATTTTGCGGTCCGATACCTGACAGCAAGGTTTAGTGTTAATGAGGCCTGCGCGTTTTCTCCTTTCTCATATCTATAATGTGACCCTCCGTGACGGTGTCAGTCGAATCTCAGCGACTGGCCTCATAAGTTTGCACAGGTTTGGACGTTGATGATAATTTATAATGGTAAAAACCGGTTTAAAATCAAAATACACGTTTTTATTTGATAGTATTTTATGAGACAAACATTGGTAACGTGCGCTTTGAGAAAACACGCTTCGAAGATTGTGTATACATGCTTCACATTTCTATATCCCTAATTCCCATTTACGTATCCCTAATGCACACTCTCGTATCCCTATCACGTAGCCATACTCTCATTCACGTATCCCGAATTCCCATTTATTGACCCATTCCAGTATTCCTTATTTCCATCCATGTATTCTAATTTCTCATTCACCCATCTCTAATCCCCATTGACTTATCCACCATCCTGATTCACTATCCCTTATTCCCATATCCATTAATACCCATTCCCGTATTCCGAATTTCCATTTACGTATTCATAATTCCCATTCACGTATCCATAATCCCAATTATCGTTTCCCCTAATTCTTATTCACGTGTCCCTAATTCCATTTACGTACTACTAATTCCCATTTACGTGCCTCTAATTCACATTTACGTACCTCTAATTCCCATTTACGAACCTCTAATTCCCATTTACGTAACTCTAATTCCCATTTACGTACCTCTAATTCCCATTTACGTACCTCTAATTCCCATTTACGTACCTCTAATTCCCATTTACGTACCTCTAATTCCCATTTACGTACCTCTAATTCCCATTTACGTACCTCTAATTCCCATTTACGTACCTCTAATTCCCATTTACGTACCTCGAATTCACATTTACGTACCTCTCATTCCCATTTACGTACCTCTTATTCCCATTTACGTACCTCTAATTCCCATTTACGTACCTCTAATTCCCATTTACGTACCTCAAATTCCCATTTATGCACCTCTAATTCCCATTCACGTATACCTAATTCCCATTTACGTATCCCATTTACGTATCCCATTTACATATCCCATTTACGTATCCCTTTACGTATCCTAAAATCCTATTCACGTATCCCAACTCCAATTCACGTATTCCTAATTCCAATTCACGTATTCCTAATTTACATTTACTTACCCTTAATTCTAATTCACGTATCCATAATTTCCACTCACATAGCTCTACTTCACTTTCACGTAATTCCCATTTACGTATTAGCTCCCATTCACGTATCCTTAATTCTAATTCATTTAACACTAATTCCCATTCACATATCTATAATTCCCTATCACTTACCCCTAATTTCCATTCACGTATCCATAAATCCCACTCACATACCCCTACTTCATATTCACATATCCCTAATTCCCATATGGACTAAAGACATACACATGATAAGATTGCAATATAAAATATTGTGCACTGTGTACTCTTGCAAGCACTGTAGATTTATGAACTAAATACATAACAAGGATTGATAAGATTACAATATAAAACAGTGCAAAAATTATATTGATTGTAGTTTCATCCTGGAAATTAAAAAAAAAAAAAAAAAGCAAAAAAATATATTTGAAAATTTCTAAATCATTTGTTTATTGGAAATAAATAAATTCGCCATAACAAGGATTGATAAGATTACAATATAAAACAGTGAAAAAATTATATTGATTGTAGTTTCATCCTGGAAATTAAAAAAAAAAAAAAAAAGCAAAAAAATATATTTGAAAATTTCTAAATCATTTGTTTATTGGAAATAAATAAATTCGCCACTTCACACCTTCAACAATGACATAAGTCAAAAGCTATGTTTAGAAAGTGGCGAAAAACAAGTATACTTTCATAATTTTACGTAACATATTTATGTTCTATACAATCAAATCTTTCATATTTTAAAGAATTTTGTTTCATTAAATTTAATTTGTTTTGAAGAAGTCTCAGCATCTTAGAGACTATTCCATATCAGTAAAACTATTGTAAACTGTTTAGTCTCATGACCAAACCTGCAGTAGCTGCTGGTGTTGACGTTTTGAACTCAAACAAATTTAGATTTGACAAATAAGAAAGAAAAGCAATAACGAAGACATGATGATAACAAAGACATGATTGTAACAAAGACATGATGATAAAAAAGACATGATGATAAAAAAGACATGATGATAAAAAAGCTATGATTGTAACAAAGACATGATGATAAAAAAGACATGATTGTAACAAAGACATGATTGTAAGAAAGACATGATTGTAACAAAGACACGATTGTAACAAAGACATGATGGTAACAAAGACATGCTGATCTGAGGATTAAAAATCCTAAACCAAAACATTCAAAAATAAATTTATACTCTTTTTAATTTGATTCACATAAGTATTGAAAATAATAGTCTTTATTTATATTATAACACTCCAGGTCAACCATGCAAGACTTGGACAATAGGTAGCCCAAGCAATACTCGTCAACGTAGTTAGTAGGTTCTCCAAAGCACCAGTTTAGGTATTTCATGCTTTGTCCCGTCCTCTCAAACTCCCAGTACCCCTCTTTGAACGTGTCTGTCCCTCCGATACGTACGGCATAGTTGTATTGCCTCCAAACAAGTTCGGCGACTTCATCGTTTTCAGCCTGATGATCTATTTCAATGAAGTATGCACATATCGATTTTACAGGTAGCCGTAGCATCGACCTCCTTAATGAAGTTGTGTTTGGAGATATGTCTTCCCTAAGTTTTCATATGAGTTAAGTAAGGCCAGATTTGTCGTGTTGGGGGAGCACTCTATTTATAGAAGAATCAAACGTTAAAAATAAATTTGAGTCAGAAAGAAGTTTAGCAAATTTGTCAATAAGAACAATGTTTTAATTTTTGTAATTTTGTTGTCATTCAGGGGTCTTAATGTTCAAAGTGTTTAAAGAGGGGCGATTCAAAACTAGGAGGCGAAACATTTAAAACCTGCTTAGACAAAAAGATAGTGATTACATACGTGAATAGCTCTTACATTTGGTAACAAAGCCACAACACTTGGGGTGCATTTGTGACTTGGTTAAATACAGAGCTTATTGAGCTGAACACATTGGCACTCAAGCAGACGTGACATGGCAGAGCTTATTGAGCTGAACACATTGGCACTCAAGCAGACGTGACATGGCAGAGCTTATTGAGCTGAACACATTGGCACTCAAGCAGACTTGACATGGCAGAGCTTATTGAGCTGAACACATTGGCACTCAAGCAGACTTGACATGGCAGGGCTTATTGAGCTGAACACATTGGCACCCAAGCAGACTTGACATGGCAGAGCTTATTGAGCTGAACACATTGGCACCCAAGCAGACTTGACATGGCAGAGCTTATTGAGCTGAACACATTGGCACTCAAGCAGACTTGACATGGCAGAGCTTATTGAGCTGAACACATTGGCACTCAAGCAGACTTGACATGGCAGAGCTTATTGAGCTGAACACAACTGGCACCCAGGCAAACCTCACATGGGGTGGTGGGGCAAATTGCGTTAGTTTTTCAGACATGTCAAAGATGTCTCTTAGTCAACAAAATGATCTTTTAGTGAAGTCAACGAAAACGGCGTTACATCGGAAACTTTGTTGTGACTTGTTTGTAACATTAATCATTTGACATGATTGGTCAGTGGGAATAATTTTTAGACTATTGTTACATTGCAAAATATAAGTTCAAATACAATAATGATGTCGCATCATACATGCATTTTCAACAATGATAACACTAGGGTCCGACTACTGTGTTTTTAAGGTGGTAAACTATAAATTATCTTTTTTCTTTTCTTTTTTGGTTATCCATGGACTTAAGTCCTAAGAACGTCACTTATTTTAAAAATTATGTATTACTTACTTAATACAGGTGCAGGTCGAGATCAAAATCTAGAACCAGTATGAGATCCAGTTCCAGGTCTAGGGTTTTGACTAATGTTTGGGGCTATGAGAAAATACATTTTGAGACACAATACAAACAGTACAAACATAATCAAAATTAGACATCCCTTAGTATAAACATGATATAAAATAGACATCTCGTAGTAAAAACATATGTTATAAAATACATATCTCTTTACCGTTTGTCAGTTTGTCTCTTTGCCTCCATTCCTTCTTAATTTATAAAACACTTTTCCCGTTCGTTCTATTTCGTTGCCCCATTTTTAGGTACAAGAAATTATGTTCCAATTATAATTGGTAAGCATGATTAGCAATTAATGTTTTACAGTTCAAATATATATGATGACTAATAACTTTTAAATGAGAAATAAATCTAAACTTTAGTTACACTAAAACAACAGAAAAAAACGGTATACAAATAAAAAATAGCACTTAGCTTAGAAGTAGCATTTCTTTTGCTGCTCACGGAGACTACTTCAAAGCTCAGTGCTATTTTTATACCGTTTTTCTGTTGTTTTGTTCACTGACGAAGGCTTTATGCCGACACGTTCGTTGTTTTGTTGCGTTCCTTTTTTCAGATTTAACTCTATTTTGTTTTACTCATTTTATATTGTGCTAACCTGATTGCAGTCTCTCTCCTTATTATCCATTTTTTTTTCAGAAAGCTTTTTTTTTTTCAAATACAAATACTTTAAAAAAAAAATTATCCGTGGACATCAAGCGAATGATGTGGATGAATGGTAGGAAATGAGTAAAACAGAGTAAGATCAAACCTGAAAAAAAAAAAAAGGAATGCAATAAAACAACGACCGTGTCGGCAGGAAGCCTTCGTCAGCGAACAAACAACAGAAAAACCAATACAATTTAAAAAATAGCACTTGGCTGAGTCTAGTAGTAGTGTCCGAGATGGCAGCAGAAGAATTCTGACTTAAAATAAGCAGGTGAAAGATTAAATAATGAAAAGGGAAAGAAAGGACGAGAAGTTTGTCCACTGCGATTGGTCGTGAATAAACTGAATAAAGACTTGACGTTCAAGCCATGTGATGTCAAGGTTCCATAGGTCAGGATAAGCATATTTTCCAAATTCACCCGGCTGGGAGCGTTTGTGCTAGTCATGATCGCGCTAATGGTTAAGTCCGCCGTGCCCTTGAGGTCGCTTCTACTGAAGTGTTTAGAGACGGGACACTGTTTATCTTGCGCGATATTACAAAGGATTTCAGTGCACCTGCCAGAGAGTCAGCGTTCTGTCTCCCCTATGTACGACATCTGGCAGCGGGTGCAAACAATGGCATATACTATATTACGACTAATACAAAGGAAACGGTCGAGTATCTGAAAAATGCCCTTGGGGAATTATTTCTGTTGAGTCTGGACGACTAAAGGGCAAGTATGGAAACGGCTGCGTCCACATGGCTTGGTCCCAAAGTGGGAGGGGGCAGCGTTGATGCAACTTCGCACAAGAAGGTTTTTCAGATTTTATTACGCCTGAAAACATTGAAAGGGAGGGAAGAGAAAACGTCACGTGTTTCAGTGTCGGCGACGAGGATGGCAGGGTTTTTAAGGAAACCCGTTAGGCTAGTAGATTGTAAAGGTGATAAGTGATAATAAGTTTAGTTCTGTCAAAATTGTCGCTCGGACGTGACCTGAAGGCATTAGCAAGGATAATATTCCTAACCATTTGAAGAGCTGATGAAAGTATTGTCTCCGGGTAGGACCTAGTAGGTCACCTACGACGGAAACAGTCGAGCATCTCAAGTACTCTGTCCAAATGGTCAAAACAACATAATAATATGATATAATATAAATATATTTAATATTAAAGGAATTTGATGTATTGATATCTTCATCAAAATTGTAAACACACTTTTGCCTTGTTTTTTAAATTATACACTTGTTTTTTTTAAAGTCTACATTATCAGAAAATCGTCAAACCAAGAATTCTTTGATCTCAAGAAGATTCTCCCAACAGGTGTTCACGCCTGTGACAGATTTGAGGGTCTTTTAAAAAAATAAATACATTATTCTTCTTCTTCTTCTATATCTTAAGGGCCCACGATCAATTTATTGATCATTTTGGCTCCTATGCATGTAGATGGGATTTGCAATGTTTCTGTTCCTGGTGTTGATGAGGAAATTTCACAGATTTCCAGTTGAGGCAATAGACACAAATGTGTCTAGTGTTGTCGCCTCAACCGTTCCTTTTGAAAGATTGTTCCAGTCCCTGATTGTCTTGGGCAGGAATGAGCAGCTCCTATACTGGCTTCTTGCTGGTATGAGCCTGAATTGCCTGTCATGTTATTGTTAATCTCATAAAAATACACACCTCTTTACTTTTTGCAAATTATATGCAAAAATAAATTTTCATTTTTTGAAAGTAAATATTAACCCATCTCTATTTTTCAAAATTAAATTTTCAAGCGTGTAAAATGATTGGGTTTTGATATTCATGGATATACTTATATAAATGTACCCACGATTCGTTAACGCCATTGATCTTCTTAATTGGTAAACAAATGTTTAGTTGTAAAAAGTCAATGTAACATTTATTTTTTTCACAAATGTAATATCTTAGGAGTTAACTATATTGTCATCCAAGTAAAATGTGCACATCTTATTTCCTACGTCTCCGACATGAATTTACCCAAGAAAATTAATTATTTATCAACTTCATTCCTTTATTTTGAGACGTATCTTGTGCTGCCTTGGGCAAAATGAACATACCCATATTTGTAAAAATAGAATTTAACATCTTTTTTTTCACATATGTAATATCTTAGGATTTAAATATAGTGTCACCCACGTAAAAATGTACACATCCTATTTCCTACCTCCGATATGTATATACCCAAGAAGGTTAATTATTTATCAAATTCATTGCTTTATTTTGAGACGTATCTTGTGCTGCCTGGGGAAACGTGACCAATCCCTCCCCCACTCGGATTAAAATAAAATTAGAAAATCTTCCACCGGATTGTAGTCCTTTCAATACCCTAACTTAACATATTTTGCACTTGATATGGTTCGTTCTTATTTGTATGAGGTATAAGTGGATTAGTGGATGTTATTTAGTTATGCATTTCTTATGCACTGATTATAAACCGCATTTTCTTATTAGAATTATATTTAAAGGTTAGTTTTTATTACATTATAAATTTAATAAAAGTATATTTTTGGAATAAAAAAAGACAAAACTTTTTAAATGTAAAAAATACAAATAAAAAATGTGTGTGGGTTTCATTAACAATTTAAAAAGCAATCAATAGTATTTATTAATATTACTTTTAAGAAGGGAAAATACATTATCAGTTTTGTCACGCGCGGTATTAAATTTAAAGAAACCTAAGAGTTTTGGTGAAATAGGCTATTCTGTCATTTGCGTGATTATTTAGAACTAATTAATTTTACTTTCATTTCGCAATATTAACAACGGACTAAAAGACGCACTAAAAAACGACTGATGCTTGGGGTTTCCCGATAAATGTGATTACGATGTAATTTCTGGTAAGCTTTGCAGGTTAGAGGGTCTTTGGCAGAATTTTGTCTCATTGATTTCAGCCATTGTTTATTTCGCTTATTCTCTGCTCATATTTAAACTGGACAGAGTCTGCATCTGCTCCTTAATAACTTCTTAAGTCTAGTATGTCTGATTACATGCCTCCGATCGATAAGAACATGGTCTATTTAGTTGTCAGTGATTCCATCTGGTAAGTTCCAAGTAACTTCATGTATATTTTTGTGTGGAAACTTGGTGTTGCTGTCATCCCTTTTCCTGAAGTAAAGTCTGTGAGTCGGATCCCATTGTCATTGGATTCTCCATGCCGACTCTCCTTGCCAATAGATGGCACGAACACCTTTTCTTATTTTGGCATTCAAGTCGCCAATCACTATTAATTTCCTGTCGTGCTGCCACATCATAGATCTTTTCCAGCGTCTCATAAAAGGATTATTTTATCCGACCTTCTGCATCTTCGATGGGAGCATGTACATTTATAAATGTTCTCTTAAACATTCTCCCTCGCACGTGCAAAGAGCACAATCTTTCATTCTCTGCGTCAAAACCTATGACTGCAACGATGGCTTATTTTCTTCACAGTAAATCCTGTTTTAAGAGAGTTGGTTTCATTGCCACCATAAAATATGTGTACTCTTCTGTCCAGAGCATGTCTGCATTTTACCATCAAATTTCTAGCAATGCAGCAATAGAGATTTCCTATTTAATTAGTTAATCTATTAGGTTGGCTAAGGCTCCAAACAGGATTAGTATGTTCCAAGTCACAAAAAAAATCATGTCACTATCCAGGCACAGGGTGATTTCCATTAAAATCAGTCCTGGTTGTTACCACTCCGCACAATCGTCTGGGGGCTGCCCCTTACAGCTCTCTAGCTGGCTGACTTTATTTTTGGGAAAGGTTACCCAACCTTTGTAGATCTCTCCACTTCCTAAAAGGCAGTATGTTCTGATTTTGGTCCGCCCTCTGTGTTTTATTTCCCCAATGCCCACCTCATCTGGTGGGCATTCCCCTTTCTGCCACCAGGGGAGTTGCTCGATGGAAGATCCGTATCTGCTATCTAATCACAAGGATTTAAAATTAAAATTGCTTCAAATTTTCTTAAGCTTACTGTTTCAGTCAGAGACCCCATAGAAATGACTCGCCACCCTGCACCCTCAAGTTAGAAACCTGTGTTCTTTAGACTAATTATTTTATACCCAAATAGCTTGAGAGAGAATAAATTCAGTGTGACTTTGATGTCAAAAAAAAAATCTTCGTCAATAAAAATAATTGAAATAAAGCTGAGTTCTTTGTTTTCTTAATATCATATTTAATAAGATGTGGCTGTAATTTTTGATACACACATCTGAATAGTAATCACCAGTTTTGACATATATGGGTTAAAAACTAACACAACATTTTTTCACTATCTCAATGCACCTTAGTGATGATTAAACTGGCGTTTTTGAAGTATTTTGTGTCTTTGGTGCAGAAACAGACTGAAATCTGAGAGAAAGCCTGTTCATTATAAAGATAAATGTACTTTATCAACTGAGGGACATTAACATTTCCTAATATGAATTAAAACCAATAAGTCAGCCAATTTTGACTTGCACAGTTATGCAAAGAAAAATGTAATGCATATTAACCCATTGAAGAGCTATATTAACCCACTGAAGAGTTATAGGACTCCCTTGTTCCTATCACACCACCACAAGAATACACCTCTTAAACATGCTACAGTTTCCCATGCTCTTGTTTCAGTGCTTCAAGTAACCTCTTGTGAACTGTGGGTCGTCTGTAAACCTTGACCCACATAAAAAGTGTTAATGCAGCTAGTGAATACCTGATGATGATAAAAAGGTATCAACAATCAGCTTCATGTGAAGACAACACAATTAAAATTCTTAAAAAATTTGGATTGGGGGATTTAGACCATCATGAATGAAATAATCCATAGGTTAATATTTGGTCTTAAAAATCATTTACAACTATTTTAAATTTAAGGAAAGAATGGGAAAGGGCAATAATGTGATGTCTTCACTGCATTTGAAAGTTATAAAAAAATCCATCAAACAGTTATTTAGCTTAAATCAATAGGTTGCGTATTTGAAATAAACTGACCATGTTATGATATATGTCAAATGCTCATTGCGGAGGGTAACTTTTGTCTGGCCACCAGTTGGACCACCCGGCACTGTAGAGCCTGCAGACACAGTTTAAATATTAATATCAGATCACTAACTGTCGTTGATTTTAATATCATTAACTAGGATATTTAATAGCATTAACAAGAAATTAATTCCAAAATTAAATTTAAATGCTTTCTTTAGAGAAAAGACTTATTCACAGAGAGATTTGAAGACTTACTGAAATCAGCATCAATAAATATTTTGCTTGTCCCAACTATATCAGCCATCTCATCTATATTTCTTGTCAACCAGAAACCATCTTTTAACGGATCACTATCCATAAAAGATTTCTTGTGAAATAAATGGATAACTAGTTTTATTATATTGCGTGTATAAGAAAGTATCACAAAAAAGTTCATGTAAATCATCACAAGTGACAGATCCAATAGATGTTTAGCATAATGAGTGAAAAACTGACCTTATCATTTAATCTGATGACACCCGTGATCTCCACCTCTCCTTCAATCTGTGGGAATAAATAAGAAACAAATGATCTAAAATAAAAAAAGGTTTATTACTAACTAAATAAGATATACGGTTCTTCTGAGAAAAATCTAAAAAAAACCATCCAAAATGAATTAGCAGTGTTATGCCTGCTTGCAGATTTAAATTTAAACCCAACTAATATTGTAAAAAGAAAAGGACATTAGGCCTATTAAATCCAAATACATATGCACCTACTAAAGATTCGACAACAAAGTCTGAGTCTCAAGTAGGAATACTAGTGAGAGAAAAATTAATAAAAAGTCCAGAGAATTAAAATAATACAGGGATATGTGGTTTCACAATAATGTTCATAAGAATGATGAAGATAAGAACGTGCTTCCAAAAAATATAATCAACAGTGCAAAGCTATAAGAAGATGGATCACAATCACCATAATATAAGGAACAGTTTCTTACTGCAGAGGATATTAATTTACTACTTATGGTTGGTCACATAAAAATAAACAGTTGGCTTAAGAATCACACCAAAAACGTACAGACAGGGGAAAACTTCAATGGCATCTTTCTGAATTCAAAATATTCCTGAACATCAGGTTTATAGAAAAGGGTACGTCAACTTTAGTTTGCAGGCAAGGGGGACATGACTATGTCATGTGATTAGAACATCATTAAAGTATTGGAGGATACTTATTGGACAGTGGACACTTTCTTCCCCCCAAGAGCATCTGTTACCAGTAGTGGGTATCCACAAGTGTGTGACTTCAAGATTTGTGGAAAAAAACAAACTTTGCCTCTTGTGGACTATTTCCAGCGAAACTTGAAGATTGGCTATAGCAGGCCTGCACAACTCAAAATGTAAGGCGGGCCATATGTTGTGCACGCCTGGGCTGTAGCATGGATAAAAAGGTATCCAGGGGCATACAACAATCACAGTGGTGTTTTATACTCCCCAGGTACAGGAGATCCTAAGAGCTGCAATAACTAATAGTAGAAATTAAATTTTTTATGTTAGACAGAGTTTAAATTGACTTACCTGCCCTTCTGAGCGCATTTCTTGGGGTCTATTTGCGAACGGAACATGACCTCGGTTGACAAGGATTGTTTCACTGTTATTTCATTATTAAAAAGATACAGAGTATTAGTATTAGAATTTAAAAAAAACTGGAATGGGTCATCTTATGTAATTCAAGTTAAGTCAGAAACTATATTTTAAATTTTTTTTCTTGTTGACAAAAATCTTAAAATTAAATAAAATATTTTACATTAATTTAAATAGACCACTGCACAATGACTGTATTGGGTCTCACAAGAACACTTCAAAATGTATTAAATTTTAAAAATCAACTACCGGTAATAGACTAAATTACAAAAAAAAAAAGAGCTATTTTCTTTTCTTAAAGGTCTCAATAATGCTAATAAATTCAAAAATATATTTAAGTCAGTGTTTCCCAAAGTTGAAAGTTTGGCCCAAGGAGAAAAATATTTGAAATTGCACTAGGGAACAGTATCAGATTTATTAATTATTTTCATTTTATATTTCATTTGACCATAAATATTAATGTTGTGTTTACCACAACATAACGGTCCGCAGACCACACATTGAGACATGCTGTTTAAAGAACTTACTCCCTATCTGACAATTTGAAAGGAGTCACCACGTGAACACCAATAGTGGAAGACTTATTTTTTCCTCCCATTGTATCTGGAGCATGAAGATTTGACCTGGGGCCAATGAACACCTCTCTAGAATGGTCAAACGTCCCTCGCACTTTCACTTTTCTGTATTCCAAATCCTTTAAGTCCTCAATACTGAAAATAATGAAACTAGTGGAAATCCTGCCTTCTTTATGTTACCTAAATTCGGATTGCAAAATGTACAAAGTAATTTATACATGCAAGTTAAATTCAAGACTCAATATTCTTTTCAGATTTAATAAGAAATTCCATGAAATGTTTGAAATATCCAGAAATATTTTTAACAGCAAAAGAATATTGATCTCCTCCTCAAGGAAAAAGTCTTAGCATACAAAATTAATTATGAGGTTTCAAAGAAAATTGAATTTTGTTTCGATAAATCAGTTTGACTTATAAAAGTATATATTTTTTATAACTACATAAAAAAAACTCTTTAGCTTGAAAATATTAAAAAAATGGTTTATATATAAAAACACCCAAATATTTTTTCCAGTTTACTTTCATAATTTGTTCTGTCACCAATGTAACCTACTTCTGTGGTAAGGAAATAGTAGGTGCCTGCATTTTTTCTTCAAGTTCCTTAATGAGATTCAGCTTCCATTCCCTTCTTTGTATCTGCCAAGTACCTAGTCCAAATGCAGCGAGGGGGACCATCTGAAAAAATAATTTTAGTATCCCATTTTATTATATTATGTCAATAAAATTACTAACCATTAATCTCTGAAAAATTGTATAAAATTAAAAAAATTCAAAATACATAAATAAACGGTGCCAATAAACAATTTGCAGTTAAATCGTAAACTATTAATGAATTTTTTTTACAACAATGATTCAATCTGTTACCAGTAGTGGGTATCCACTTGAACTTTGCTTTCTGACAGCTGGCTTCTCTCTTGGAACTTGTCTTTTTGGAATTTCTGTTTGTGATTTAAATCTGATGCAAAGCTGAAAAATACTCTTATTCTTCATATATTTGAAGGTACCGTGTGTGATCTGAAACTTATTTTTAGAAATCCAAACCTATCAATCCCAAGCTTGTGGACCAGAGTTCAATCTTAACAAAGGCCTAGACAAGAAAAAAAAACATCACAGGCACCCCTGCTGGATGGGACTCGTCAACCTTGGATGGAAACTCATCTAAGAGAAGGAAAACTGGATTGGATTCAAATCTGGAGATGGAGTGCCGTTGACACAATGAAAATACCAGCACACTGTTTTATCCATACATGATATCCCCTTGGGTGGAAAGAGATTATTTGTTATTCTAGGAAACCAGCTTATTGTCCTAAAGAAAAAATTCCTGGCCTTGTGATTACATTGTGATGGACAAATGCCATCAAACTAATAATTCTGTCGCATTGTGATGGACAGATGGAATTAATTTTCAATGTCTAAAACGACACAAGTATGAGTTATGACATTGGTTTGCGATATTAAACACAGGCTATTTTGTGACCCAAAAATATTATTTTGATAAATTATTTGTGTGTACATTAATCACTTCTGCATCATGTGATGCCAGACAGAAGATTTTCCAAACAACTAATGTCCAGTGAACTCTCCAGTGAGAAACACTCAGCTGGTGGGCAGAAAAAAAAGCTTTTATTCAAGGACTGTCTAAAAGCTTCACTCAAATCAATGGACATTGACCTTGATTTGTGGGAAACGCTATGAACCATGGATTGTACAAGCTGGCGATACAGACTCACTGGTGGAGCACAATCGCTCACACCCAAAGAAAGTTCACAGTAATGAAAAGCAGAATTGACTAAAATCCAACTAAGTCCCAAAACAAGGTGTGTCCTATCCTACGTTCAGGAAAGCTTTCTAGGCACAAATAGGACTAGGACTGGCAAGCCACCTGCGTACTCAGTTAAATATAGCCTTGCCTTGGTCATCTTCCCATGTGAAGGCCAATTTAACTTTTAATTTATTATTAAGTAAATAAAATAGGCCTAAGAGAGTGATTATTTAATCTAATAATTACTATTTTAGCATTACCATGTTTTTACTGTTACTATACTATAACTATACTTAATACTTATCTTATAGTATAGTCTATAGTCCTTTTAAACTTTACTGACTTAATAAAACTTAATTACTTAGACTTAGACTTTCACTTAGACTTAGACTGACTAACTTAGTTATACTTATAACAAATCGCATTCATGTAAAAAAAAAAAAAGCAGTTCTATAACACTACCTTAATTTTTTGCCAGTTCTCATTCAGTTTAGAGAAAACTTTTAAAGTTTTTGTGTTGAGTGACATTTTCTTGAGAATTCGTGTTTGTTATTCATATAATTGTTAACATGTCCCTGAACGTTTTGCCGACCTACACCACAACTTTATTTGTAAATAAAAAGACAGTAGTTTCCCTTCTGTGCTATTCTATCATACGAGCAATTTCATTGGCCTTTGGAAATAAAATTCTCCAATGAAATTCTATTTCACAAATCACTAAGTCGATGTTTTAAGATGGCGGACGGTGTGCAGAAACGGTTGCAAAGTGAACTTGACAAATTTCAAACTGTTCAAAAAGGTATTTGTGATGATTTCTATTATATTAATATTAGGTCATAATGAATTGAGATTTTTAATTACTATAAAGAATGAAAAGTAGAAGGCAGTATATTTTATTTCACCCGACAATAACGCTATTTTAACTAGGCCTTCTCATTAATGATTAATCTCATCCTCAATAAATGTCAAATGTGACAACTCTTACGCTTGGCAAAACCCACGCCCGCACCGTAAACGAGTTGAATAGGATAAAATGCGACTTTTTAGGACGTAGTATGAGTAGTAAGAGTTCTTCAAACTTTAACCTAGTAATTTAAAAATTGTATTTAATTATAATTTAATACTCTAGACTCTAGAAATATAATTTATATTTATAAAACATTGATTATTGATTCATTGATAATTATCTGAGACATGTTGAGATTTCTAAAATTTCTATAGGATTTAAGACGAATTCAGCTTTTTAAATTATATGAGGAGATTGCTGGTCCATTTTTACACTAAAATACGAAAACAATGCAAAAATATGAAGTATCACGAGACCGAGCCTATTGCCCAAACAGGACATTTAAATGTTCATTTTACCGATCTTTCGCGGCATGGACTGAAGCTCAGAAAATGGCCACTCACTCAGTGCCGTTGTTTCAGTTGATACAGAAAATTATGCTTCATTGGATCTTTTACGTTGAGCAGGTATGTAAAAACTAAATAATATAATATAGTGAATTATAGGTTTAAAACTTCCGTTCATATGCTTTTTGCATGGTTGTTTGAAATATTAATAATATTTTACTGGTTTTTGTGCACCTTGACATAGGACTTAGCGAATTTTAAGGCCATTCAGCATCATGAAATCAATTTAGTTTGTATACTACCCCAACAAGCTTTAAATTTGAATCTACTTTTTCCTCGTTATTTTATCGAAGTGGTTATGCGCAGCTGACTGCGTATAACCCTGAGAGTTATACGCAGTCGGCAAGTCATGCGAGGTCTATATTCTTCCTGTTTTAAAGTATCAATCGATAAAGGTGCTTCATAATGAGGGTGACTGGGTGGTCGAATGGTATAAACTGATCAAACTTTAAGTTAGTGGTCCTGAGTTCAATTCCAGCCAAAGGCCGGTCATGAATACGTGTTAGATGCTATGTTTGTTCTCGAGAATGAAGCAAAACATCTAGGTTTATTGTTTTACTTTTGTTGTGGCTAAAAAATGATTAAACATGATAAGAATTCTTAACTTGACCAATGTAAGGTTAATATTGTTATTCTTTTAATTATCAAATATATGTTTGTGTTGTTAACATATATTTTGTGTTGTTAACTAATTTTGTGGCAGATAAAATCATGTTTCTCTTGTACAGTAATAAATATAATCAGGGGTGGAGAGTAGCAGTAAAAAATAGATGTAGGGGCAGGGGGTTCTGTAGAGGGAGCACTGGTTTTACATGGAAACTGAAAACTGTTACATTGAGGTCACCAAAAAAACAAAAAAAAACATAAATGATATAATTGTTAAAAAAATAAATAGAATGTATTTCCTGAATTAGTGAATAAAACCAACCACATAGTCATTACAACATATAAAAACCTAATCAATCAGAATACAGAACTAGACTTAGACCATGGAAATGTCTTTTAAAAAATAATCTTCTTAGTCTTAGACTCTAAGTCTAAGAAATGTAGACTTTGACTTAGACTTATAATATATAAGATACAAGCAATAATACTAATAATAGCACTAATACTAATACTATTACTAACATTCAATATTAATTAAAATTAATTCAATTAGATTTTACGTTAAACACATTAAAACTTATAGTTCAAAACAATCCATCATGCAGCTAATTACGCATAATACTTTTTTTTAAAAATTGCCAAACTAGCGGTAATAAACCTATTTGGGAATAACTCTCAGGGTTATGCGCAGTCGACTGCGTATAACTCTCAGGGTTATACGCAGTATACGCAGCCTACTGCTTATAACGCTTCCCTTATTTTATCAAACAAAAGAAAACTTTTAGCTGTAGATGATACTTCAAATGATTATTATTTTGAGTATTTTGTATAAAAATATTGTGTTACTATATGTAATTTAAGTTTAAGAAAGGGTCAAGTGACATAGCTTTGCGTTGGTAATGTAAATAATTTTGAACTGAAAAGCTGTGTGGTGGTGCTCTAAGCGTTATTAATGAAGGTTACTTATTATAATTGGTATATTAAAAAATGTTAAGTTTATATACATTTTATATGTTATATAAATATCTATAACTTCATGTCGTGTCCACACTTGCAATATTTAAATAAATTGAAATTTGTAAGTAAAAAACTATTCCAAAATGTTAAAACTTGTAAATTAACAGCTGGTGAACAGCATGATGCCTTACAAAAACATTCCTGGCTAGTGGAAAAGGAAGAAGACAGCTTTGCTCCATCTAACTATAGACAACAACTGACAAGCTGTTTCTTCAGTTGCACACATTAAAAGAAAAACAATGGCAGATCATGGGATCAGGTAATTACTTCTAATTGCAAATTATTTTTAATTGTAAAGTAATAGTATCCTTGTTCCAACTAAATTTTGTACATGCATTTCCTTTTTAATTCCTATTTTAGCTGGAATACTGGTTTGCTCAAATCAAAGAAGGATTTAAAGTCCGACCCATGGTTGAAAAAGTTCTGAGGATATTGAATGACCATAAAGATTTGGACATAACAGTTTCCCGGAGCCAAACTTTAGATATGGATTTCATAAGTTCCACCCTATCTTCTTCTGGGGTAACAAAGAAAACAATCAATTTTCCACCTGAAGTGCCAACAGTACAGTCAAAAGGAGTACCAAATGTCTTTGTTATTGATTTTTACAAATTTTGTATTTTAAAATTTACACACAAAGAGATCATTTAATTACTTTTTAAATGGTTATGTTTATATTATTTTTCTCTTGAAAAATCTTTATTAGAAAAGAAAGTAGATTGTATTTTAAGACAGGATTAGAAATTGAATATTTCTAAACATTGACACCCAGAGCTATATGAGGATTTTGTAAATACTATTTTTTCAGTAAGTGAGGAGCCAAAGAACTTAAAAGTGAAACTGTTGCCTTTTTTTAATGACATCACTGTTGCTAATATTAAACTTAAAAAATGCTCTTGAAGATTTAAAGAAGGTCTAATAAAAATGTGGAAGAACTAATAATTGATAAAAATCTTTAATTGAATTAAAAAAAATATATTTTTGAATTATGTTATAAAACTTAGTCATAAACTTAGTTATAGTGAAAAAAGAGATGTAGAAATAAATCAGTTAAAAGGTAAAATAAAAGATACAAACTTGACCATTAAGTCTTTTTCTAATAAGCTAAAGTCAGAAAAATGAAAATAAAAAAAAACCATAGAAACAATTTTAAAAAGACCATGAGACAGAACTTAAAACATTTGACATTTTAAATTTGAAAGGTACAATCAAATTTTTAAAACAAAATACAGAATTCAATCAAAACATATCATGTGGATGTGAAAAATCTGCTTCTATTAAAGATCCTATAAATAATTTTTATTCTCCTGCTGTGAGACAAACTGTTATCAGTCTTGTTTCAGATGTAGGAGTTTAAGCACAAAATGTTGCCAAGTGCTTAAATATAATAGCAGAAAATTTATTTGGACACAGTTTGGGTCAGCTACCCATTCTTTAAACTTGTTTAAACATTTGTCTTGAGGCCAATGTCATTAGTCATGTACACAGGCTGTGGAAAATATTTTATTATGTGATAAAATGACTGTGCACAAAGATGGTACATCTCGAGACCACCAAAAAAATGTTTGTTATCAATTGACTAAACAATGGCACTGTGGTACATTTAGCATTTGATCCTGTTGCATCAGAAGATGCCAATACTATGTTGGATGTCACCATCAACAGTTTCAAGTCAAGGGCCAATGTAAATGCCATGCATTCTAATGACTCCTCTTTAGAAGTTTTAAAGAGCTTGATTACAAAAATAAATAGTACCCTAACTGATAAGGCTGCTTCTATGAAGCTGTTCAGTCAAAAGCTATAAAGTTTCCTTAGTACAGAGCTAGGACAAGAGGTGCAAGTGCATTTCCTACATGGTAATGCCCATTTATTGTTAGGGTTGAGCAGTGCTTGTGAAAAAGCACTTTGTCAAGATGACCATGACTTGAAATTAGAAACTGGAAATACTCTTGGTCGAGACAAGCAATCATTTTACAAAAGTAACTCTGGCAGTGCTGAGTCTTCAGCTTGTCGTTTGATAATGACATCTAAGAGGGGATCAGAAAAATGTTTTCTGGGCCGAATGGCTTACTTTCTGTCCTGATTCTAAATACCCTCTTTTAACAGGTTCAATGCTTTTTTGAAGCTGCATCTGCTTTAATATTACGTGAAAAAAAAATTATACAGTTTTTTTTTCATCAGGCAATCTGCCTGAAAATGTCACCTTAAAAATGCGTAGTGTTATTTATGATATTGAGGACATTAATATCATGTGTGAGATTTGTGCTGTTGCCATTTTTTATCTTATAATTTCTGTTCCTTATTTGAAATTAGTTAATAGTGAGACTAGGCATACAAATTGTCATACATATGTTAAAATGATGTTAAGTGTTTTAGAGACTTGCATAACAAATCCTTCATTTTTACTAGATGTAAATTTTTTTATCTGTTTTTGAAAATGAATTTCAAAGCCCTGTAGATAGTTTCACTTCAATTAAATCCTTTGTAACAGCCTGTGGGAACAATTTTCAATTTAAAATAAACTCTGTCGTTCATGTCAAAAGAGTTGGCCATTGCCACCAAGCTGCAACTTGCATCAGATTTTTTTTGTTTTGGTGTTACAGAAGAAACAATTGTGGCACTTTCACATTGTCCTCTTACTAATATTTAATTGGAGAAAGTGCTTTTGGCAACATAGATTATGACTTACAGAAGAGACAAAATTGTTTATTGCAAAACAGGTCAGCAATGAACGCAACAAAAAGGAATAAAACTGCAACTTTTATCTGGCAAACATGGCAAGGCTATTTTCTTTTGATTGTCAGCAGGCGATTAATTTCAGACAGCAGGCTAGATGACAAGAAATTGATGTGCAGCTTCCAATGAAACAACTAAAAGTAAAAAACTAAGAAATTGAAATAAATAAAGTGTGGATAAAATCACCAAAAAACACCCAACTAATGGCTATAGTCAAAGGACACGGGGTCACTGCAGCAATGCAGATGATGCTGATTTTCTTTTGCAAAAGTTAAGTGGCAAAACTTTGCATTTTCAAAATGAAATTAATATTTAAATTGATTTTTTTAGTAATGTTTACTAATACCCCCCAGTCTGTACTAACAAATTTGCACATTTCTAATTTTTTTTTTCACAGAGTGTATTTCCTAATTTTAAATCAAAGTGATGTAATATATATATTATTATCTTGTTTTATGTGTGGTGCCCCTTTGGAGTTTATTAACTTTATTAGTCTCTTTATCTTTTATGTGTTGTGCCTTTTGGAGTTTAAGTGAAATTCGAAGGAACAATTTAAAAAGAATCATTTTTGTACTCTACTTTTGTCAAATGTATATATTATTCAATGGTATTTTGTGGTGTCAGGTATGCTTATTTTATATGAAGACTACTATTATCTTCACTTCCCAAGTGATTTCATAAAATTACCTATTTTTCTATTTGTCAAATATGTATTGGTCGAAAGAACTTCCTATTTGCATTCTTATACAAAATTGATATATGAATGATGTTTATGAGTAAATTAGATAATTATTTGAGAATTTTAAAATATGGGTAATATTTGTGATTTCTTATCTCCCTTTTTAAAATTTGAAAATGTTTACAAAATGCCATCTTCACGACAATAAATTACAGTAGTTTAATTTCCCCAAAAATTGTGTTTATTTTCTGTTTAGTATTGTGTAAATATTGTAATGTTTAGTATTGTGTAAATATTGTAAAGGAAATGAGTGCAGGTGACATACATTTTAAGATATGACTCATGAATATGGGTCTTTGTCATTTCATAGAAGGTAAGCAGAGAATTAAAAAAAAAATAGCACAACTTTCTTAATAATGGTCAATTAGTCATAAATTTAATGTCCACATTCTAAGAATTCTTAGATCTTTCATCTTAAACAATCAAAAATGTTCTGGGTTTAGTTTGAAAAATTGGTTTGGAGTTCCTATTGTCATCGAATAAATAATGAAATATTTGCTATTAGAACATGCTACATCATTGAATAAAGTTGGTATCATTCCAGCCATATGGTTTTACCTTAGCAAATATAATATAGAAATAATTAACAAAGAATATTTGCTAATGTTAACCCAGGAACTGTCAAAAAGGCAGATCATTATTCCATATTTATGAAAACGATGTACCATTTAAAATGATGTCCTTTCCTAAATTTCAGATGTGGCAAAACACATCGGACTTCGACAACAGTTAGAAGGCCAACTGAGTGAAAACACTTTAGTGAAGGAGGTCAGAGCCATTGATATTTTAGATCTGCAGATCAATCTTACATGAATGCCAAACTATGGGATCAAAATGTGTACAAAAAGTCCCCCAAAAATCAACATGAAATACTGTACAAAAGAAAATGAAAAGTCAAAAATTATATTTATAATTTGTTCATGTAATACTTTATATCCATATAGAGTATCCTTGACTTTTCTCCCCAGTGCAGTGAAGAACTAGGTTTATGAGATGGCAGACTCAATAACTTTGTCAAGTCTGGCGTTAATTTAAATACAGGAATCTGTATTAACACAGCGAGCCTAATTAACCCATAATTTATCTATAATTGCAATTGGCATATGAAATGCTATTAAATTCATCAAATGAATTCTTTATTTTTACAAAGTTACCAATTGATATGTGTAAAAAAAAACAACAACCTCAAACCCAAATTTGATGAAAATTGGATTGAAATAGGTATTTTCATTTCCAATTGTAAGTTATCCACTTGCAAGGATGTTAAGTTAGAATTCATGTGCAGTGAAGGGGAGATTGTTCAGCAATTTTATTTGTATCTGTGTTATAGAGGTGCCACTTGGTGTCATTACATGTGGTGTCACTAAAAATGATCAGCTTTATGTGGAAATAAAGTATTAAGTAAAAATTTTTTAAATGCATGCAATCTTTGCCTGTTTTATAATTTATGGATTTGTTTGAAAAAACAAACAATGTAGTTGTTAATTTTACACTTTAAAATATATTTTTTCCACTTTAAGTCGATTTTAGCAATCAGTTTGTATTTGGATAGATTATCTTCATAAGAGCTCAGAGGCAAGCACTTGTCTTTTTTCCAAGTTTCTAAAAATTAAAGATAAAAGAGGAAATAATGAACAATTCTCACTGATGTCAGCTATAAATAAGATATGCTCATCCAACCAACACCTGCTTTAGTTTTAGAAAGGGAAGTCATACCATGTAGTAATAAAGGGGCATAATCATTCATGACTTATGCTATTCTTTGGTAATCAGTCATATAAAATGTGTAAAATTATATGATCGAAATTAAAAGAGCGCTTAATGACACCACAATTCTTACTAAGACTAATTTAAAAATGTTCTCTTCAGAATGATATGTAAAAAAACCTTATGTTAAATTTGAAGGATGTTTGCTAATAATATGTTGAAAATTTCTTACATAAGAGATACCATTTTTGCCTGTTATTTGAGTATGCTGAAAATATAACTTTGATTTAAAACCAAATTTATTAGTGCTTATTATATTATATTGTCTTTTTCATATTTTCCTAAATTAGAACCTAATTTATTAAAAACTAAATCATGGAAATACCATCACTTGTGATCAGTTGCGTTGTGTTTGCATTGTTCTGAATACATATATGTAGATTAGTTATTAACAAAACTGTTTTCTTGCATTAGGAGCTCGATAGACTGGATGAAGGAGCTGGTGTTTACAAAATGGTTGGCCCTACACTTATTAAGCAAGATTTGACAGAAGCCAAACAGAATGTTCAGAAACGTATTGACTACATTAAAGGAGAGCTGTGAGTATTTATTTGTTTTCATGCTTGTCATATTCTTTGAAGTATAAACTGAGATTTAAAAATTTGTTGATCTATTGAATCAATGAGCGTTTATGAAATGGAATTTCAAAAAAAAAAGTTATACCTGGGTTTTAAATTTTCTTTCAATTTAGAACTGATTAGTTGATTATAAGGATTTGAAGCCATGGCATTAAATGTTTTAAGGATCCATATCTCCTAATTTTCCTTTTTTCAGCTTTTTGATAATTAGAAATAAAATCTTTTTCAGTAAACGACACGAGAATGTAATTAAAGAGCTTGAAAAGAAAGCAGATGCTCATCGTGAAACTCTCAACAAATTGCAACATCAGTTTCAGCAAGCTCAAGTAAAAGCTGCTGTCAAGTCCTAGTAGTTGCTCATGTTATATGGGAATACAATTAAACTGACACTGCCTACATTTTTTATTATTTAGTCATTTGTACTTTGGTAAATATAACAACTCTGTGGACAGTTTTGAAAATGAGCACTCATTTTATTATTGTACCGTAGTAGACTACTTAAGGAAATTACAAAACGCCTTTCTTATATTTTTTTGAAAGTTTGACATTTTCAGGTTATTTTAAAGGGCTTTATTTTCAAGAGGCTAACAAGATCAGTTACTGTGGAGTAAGAAGTTTATTATTTAATGGAACATTTCTCGCAGATCTTGCATTGCAATTTAAGTTTAAGAAATGTACACTTACATATGTGAGCACTTTGATTATATGAGTGTGGGTAGTGACTTGAATGCCATCTTCCTGTGTGCTTTTGAGATTGATATATCAAACCAGATTTTGGAATCATGTATGTGAAAGATGACTAAATGATTGTGATTGAGTTAATATGAAGATACCTGTTTTTCTGAACAAACTCATTTTTTGATGTTTCAAGACAAAACCAAAGTAATCTTATTATTTTTACCCTTAACTCAGTGGTGATTCTTTCCCCTCAAGTCCTTCAAGGTATTAGTTGCATACTTTCAAATATATTGAAATGCTTGAAACTGACTTGATAGTCCTTGAAAGACAAGAATATGCCATTTAATTTGGCGAGCAATGACAAATGCAACATGGGTAGTAAGCAAAATTTTAATAAATGTTTGAAGCTGTCATGTTTTTAGACAATTAGGGATTTCATGTTTATTGTTTTTTTATTTCTTTTTTATGAATAAATTAGCAAGAGTTAAGGTTATGTTTAAATATTTATTTAAAACCAATGATTTTATTTTTTGACACATTTGGATGTTTCATAATCATGAATTCTGAAAAGTATTAAATTTCCTTGGTCTTGCAAATTATTTGTGTTTTAATTATCATTTCACTTAATTTGTTACGTCTGTGGAAACAGATTGATTGTATTTTTAATTGTAATCCAAAAAAAGCTTTTATACATAATTAGTGTAGAATACTTGTAAATGGGGTTGATATTATCCTCAGAATTTCCACTGCCTAATCGTTGTAGAGTATATGATTTTAATGTCTGAAACACAAGTTTTCTTTTTGATTGATTAAGTCCTTAAATGGGCTCCTTGGAAATCCCAGTGATAAAATTATGCTATGTATATGATTGTGTTGAGAGGAAATGACAAAATGGAATCCTGTATTTCCGAGATTTAAAAAATTCCTGCTGGATTTCAATGACTGATGACAGATTGTTTTACACTGCCAGTGGCATGAGTGGTAACTTGTTACTGGGTCAAATTGAATTTGCTCATTCAATATGTCAAAGAAAAAATGCTTTATAAATCTCCAATTGCAGGAGTCATGCATGACAAGATAAGATTCTTATATGATCCAAATAAATGGAAATGTATTTTAAATACATTGTACATATTTCCAGCACAAAGATAAAAACATTTTCTAACTGAGACATCATTTTACAACTAGAACAATTTAAACAAAAGACATCTAAAGTATTTCTCTTGGGTAAAAATAGACCATCATTTACCAAAAAACTTAACTACCTGAGTGATAGTGACAATAATGACTTATTGGTGATCATTTAGATTTTGTAACATCTGGGGAGCATTCTAGTATTTTCTAGTACATTCTGACAGACTGGGGAACATTTTTATATCTTATTTTAAGTTTTAAGGGAAAGAATTGGCCTTGATCAGGCTGATCTCAGGTATCTATGATGAAGAGGATGGGATGTATCCTCCGGATTTTTTGTTTTTCTACAGCATTTTTCATAAAACAGTATCTTGACTGTTTGAGTAGGGACTACAGACTGAACTTTTTGTTCCTGCTTTGCCAAAATAGAGCATATATTTCACATTGTTTAGACACTCATCAATGGTGTATACAATTAATAGTTATCAATTGGGGGTTTACATTACATGGATAGACAGCAAATCACCTCTCTCTGTGCATCAAATCACCTCTCCACGCATCAAATTGCTCTCTCCATGCATCTGGATAACACAAGGAGACATCATGTGTGGATGATACAGCTTGGCACCAGTAGTGTTGCAAGAGTTGCCTGAATTTTCATCATGTAAATGACATACCGCCTATGGTTTGAATTCAGAGTTTTCCTTCTCTTTTATTTTTTAATGAGTTGCCATCCACGGTTAGCGAGTCCCAACTTCCCGGGATGCTGGTTATGTTTTTGCTTGTCCAGGCTTTTGCTGGGGTTTGAGCTCCAGTCCACATGCTTGGGATTGACTCAGTTTAGACTGCTCGGCCACCCAGCACCCAAGTATATTCCAGTGCAGTAAAACAGTAAAGTAAAAGAATAAAACAATTTATGTAACATAACTCACTTTATGTTTTGAGAACCTTCCTTTCTTCTTTTCTTGTTCAACAGTTAACATAATTTGTGTTTCCAACTAGCCTAATCCTGCAGACTTTAGGAGCTGGAAATATGAAGTTGAATATATCCAGGTTTTATGCAAATATTTTGTTCACTAATTTTATATTTAAATCAAGTACATGTGTCACAAGTTAATAGAAATACAACAGTAAAAGTTTATAGTTAATATATTCCAGTACCACATGTAGTGCAGTATAGTATAATTATAACCATTTTACATTTAGAAGTACGGTAATAAAAAAAAAAAGTAGGTTATTTGTGTTTTATTAGCTACAATATACATTTTGTCGTCTGATTTTTTTACTACGGAAAGTTTCCACCAGCTGACAATATTTTTAGCCAGTTTCCTCAAAATTCCCTTCATTATGAATGGCACCATGGCAAAATATGTAAAAGAAAGAACACTTGATGTAATTAGAAACTTAAGATGCGAAATACATACTATGTACGTAATAATACTTTTTTTCTTTACTGCTAGTCTTGCAGCACAGTCTTAGCATAAATTTAAAGTGAAAGTGGGATTATTACATTTTGTCAATTAGGTTCATAACGTACCGTGCCATTTTTAAAATCTAATTTCAAACTTTCAAATGTTCGTTAAAATTCAATGAAGTGGATATTAAATTTAATTCATCAAGTAAAGGGGCTGGCAAAAACAGGTGACTACCCTTAGATTAAGTTAGATTATGATTATGGTTTTGTCGTCATTTAAATATCTCATTGTAATAAAGTATAAAAATAAATTAAATAATACAATTTTTATTATTCAGTGACTGCAGTGCCTATTATTATTATTACTATTACTGTTTTACTATTTTATTAAGTATTACTATTGTCATTGACTATTGTACATGAATCATGAACACTTAATTTATATTTAATAATTTTAATTAATTATCGAAACAAGTGTCACATTCATGAAACTCTGGAATATTTTATCAATATTTATAAGTATAAAATCTGATAATGAGAGAGGAGAGTTCAGAAATGTAAATCATTAACAAGAATTTTAATCTAAAAAAAATGCATGCCTATACAAGGCTATACACTATACAGTATACCATCTATGCAGCAATATGCTGACGACATGAGACTCATGTGACATGAGTATACAACATTTTACATACCAAATGATGTTAATTCTTAAAGTCTTAAATGGCAGTACATATGTACAGCAGTATCGTGTAGGAACTGTTGGTAGGCCTATATTTTTTAAAAATATAGTATAGTCTAAAGGCCGTATCCAGAAATGTGTTTGAAAGAAATTTCGTCGACGGAAATTTGGTCGAATTCGAATTCTTTTTTCAGTTCACAGTGTGAACACTCGATCTAATTTTGCGTCAAATTTCTTTTTGAAAGCATATTTTTGTTTTACAATATATTAATAGTGCGTTCAAATAAAAATTTGACCCCAATTAGATCGTGTGAATTGAAAAAAAAAAAAAACAGAAAAGAATTCGACCAAATTTCTGTTCGATCAAATTTCCGTTGATAACTTTTCCATCGACGAAATTTCTTTCCAACAAATTTCCGGTAACCCTACTGGGTGGCCTACACTTTCACTCTAAAAATGTGTCACCGTTAATAAGACGCATTAAAGTGAAATCAATACCTACACCAAAGCACAGCAGTGGCCAACCCTTTTTATCTCTCGTACCCAGAGACGTAGCGTGGTGGGGGCAGGGGGGGACAGATGTCCCCGGGCGCCAGCTAGTTAGGGGCGCCAAAATGTGCTTTGATATTATTTTATTGATGAAAATAATGGTTTTGAGAGTTGAAAAAAAGAAAAAGGGGCTCTAAAAATGGATCTTGTCCCCGGGCGCGAATCTTGTCCCCGGGCGCCATACACCCTCGCTACGTCACTGCTCGTACCCCATGATTAGAATTTTTTTTATTTGTGAGTACCCCCACCCCTATTGAAATATATTATAGCGGCTCAGAAAGGAACGGGTGTAAAAAAACAACAACAACCCAAAAGAACTTCTTTGCCGTTTTCCGTTATTATTAACAAAATGTTTGAGCTTGGGGTACCCAAGTCTCTATGCTAATGAAGGTGGCCGAGCGGTCTAAACTGTCTCAAACGAAATAGCTGGTGGTCTGGAGTTCAATCCCCACCAAAGCCATTCCCAAGCAACCCGGGTGGATGGGACTCGTTAGCCTTGGACGGCAACCTGTCTAAGAGAAGGCAAACTCTGAGTTTAAACTAAAAATAAGGAAACCCCAAAAAAAAAAAAAAAAAAAAAAAAAAAAGATTGTGTGTCTCTCTGAAATTTGGTTATACCGTAATTGCTAAAGGATTTAAAAAAAAAAAATCATGATTATTACGAATATACCGGTATTGCTAAAATATTATTTTAAAAAATCAAGATTATTACGAGCATCTTGTAATCATGACACAGTTACGTTTAACTGAAGTAATCCACGTCTCATGGTTTGCTCATTGTTGACTACATGGACCAGTGGTTATGTTTCAGACCGGGCTGTGAAACGCCTGTTTAAGGCCAGTATAGAAGGCAGTAGCTATCATTTTTAAATTAAAAGTCTTTTTCGTATATACTGCAGCAAATTTTCTAGCAACGCCGTGCCCCTCCCCTTTCCCTTTCACTGATTCTGCTATCTCTGAAATTTTTTAGTTTAAAAGAAAACCCCCAACTGATCTAATCAGGCCTTACTCCCTGTCTTGATACGTGGCCTTACTCCATGTCTTGATACGTGGCCTTACTCCCCGTCATGATAGGTGGCTTTACTCCCTATCTTGATAGGTGGCTTTACTCCCTGCCTTGATACGTGGCCTTACTCCCTGTCTTGATACGTGGCCTTACTCCTTGCCTTGATACGTGGCCTTACTCCATGTCTTGATAGGTGACCTTACTCCCCGTCATGATAGGTGGCTTTACTCCCTGTCTTGATAGGTGTCTTTACTCCCCGTCTTGATAGGTGTCTTTAATGACCGTCATGATAGGTGGCCTTACTCCCCGTCTTGATAGGTGGCTCTACTCCCCGTCTTGATAGGTGGCTCTACTCCCTGTCTTGATAGGTGGCTCTACTCCCTGCCTTGATAGGTGGCTCTACTCCCTGCCTTGATAGGTGGCCTTACTCCCCGTCATGATAGGTGGCCTTACTCCCCGTCTTGATAGGTGGCTCTACTCCCCGTCTTGATAGGTGGCTCTACTCCCTGTCTTGATAGGTGGCCTTACTCCCTGCCTTGATAGGTGGGTTTACTCCCCGTCATGATAGGTGGCCTTACTCCCTGTCTTGATAGGTGGCCTTACTCCCTGTCTTGATAGGTCGCTCTACTCCCCGTCTTGATAGGTGTCTTTACTCCCCGTCATGATAGGTGGCTTTACTCACTGTCTTGATAGGTGACTCTACTCCCCGCCTTGATAGGTGGCTTTATTCACTGCCTTGATAGATGGCTCTACTCACTGCCTTGATAGGTGGCTTTACTCACTGCCTTGATAGGTGGCTCTACTCCCCGCC